TAGAGAATGTCACCAGTGATAACAGGACTGGCTTTGGTGGTGCTCCTGGTGGTGTTTGTCGCAGCAGAGGAGGAAGCTCCTATCTGTCAGATACTGGGGAGTCCAGAGTCCCCTCTCTTGTCTAAAGAGGGAGATGTCATGATTGGGGGAGCCTTTTCCATCCACAGCAAAATCACACAACCTCCACTTTCCTTTACAGAGAAACCGACACGCCTCACATGTTCCAGGTAATTCTATGCACTGTATAACAATCCTGTCTCATGAATTTTGTCACAGTGAACACAAGTTTTTATTATGCTGCTTTTGTCTCAGTGTCAACCTCAGGGAGTTTCGATTTGCCCAGACCATGATTTTTGCAATCGAAGAAATTAACAAAAGTGACTTCCTTCTTCCCAATGTTTCTATTGGGTACCGTATTTATGACAACTGTGGCTCAACATTATCCTCAATGCGTGCTGTGATGGCCTTGATAAACGGTGATGAGTGGACTGTGGGAAAGAGCTGCTCCGGTCAATCAGCTGTTCATGCTATTATCGGGGAGTCTGAGTCCTCTTCAACCATTGTGTTGTCACGCACCACAGGACCATTCCAAATACCAGTGGTAAGATGGATGTCTATGTGTATCAATGTGTATATTATGTGCAACTCTCTTTATTCTGTCCCTCTCTTTGTCTCAGATAAGTCATTCAGCTACTTGTGAGTGTTTGAGCAGCAGGAAGGAGTATCCCTCTTTTTTTCGAACGATCGCTAGTGACCTCTACCAAAGCCAAGCCCTTGCCCAGCTGGTCAAACACTTTGGCTGGACCTGGGTCGGGGCAGTCAACAGCGACAGTGACTATGGTAACAATGGCATGGCAATCTTCCTTGCTGCTGCCCAAGAGGAAGGTGTGTGTGTGGAGTATACAGAGAAATTTCACAGGGCTGAACCAGAAAAACTCATGAAAGTGGTAGAGGTGATCCGTAAGAGCACTGCCCGGGTCATTGTGGGTTTCCTAGCCCATGTTGAGATGAACAACCTTCTAGAGCAGTTGAGTCTGCACAACATCACAGGCCGACAGTTCATTGGTGTGGAGGCCTGGATCACCGCTGACAGCCTTGTGACTCCTACCAGCTTTAGTGTGCTGGGAGGTTCACTGGGCTTTGCTGTGCAAAAAGCCAATATCAGTGGCCTGAATGATTTCTTAATCAAAGATTTCTGGGAGAGAGATTTTAAGTGCAATGAAGCAAACAGGGACAGCATGACAGAAACAGCACCTTGCAAAGAAAACCAAAATGTAATTGAGCTAAAAGATTACAATGATGATGTGACAGAGCTGAGATACTCCAGCAACATCTACAAAGCCATCTATGCTGTGGCCTACTCTCTGCACAGCATACTGAAGTGCTCATATAGTCAGGGATGTGACAAGATGGTGGAGGTTACTCCCCGGCAGGTAAAATGATGACGACATAATTGTTTACCTCCAAGTTCAATCAATATACTGACATACAGGTTTGTCTCACCCCTTTTTAGGTAGTGGAGGCTCTAAAGCAAGTGAACTTTACAATTAAGAATGGGGACCAGGTGTGGTTTGACAGCACTGGAGCAGCCGTGGCCCGGTATGAGGTGGTGAACTGGCAGCGTGGATCAGCCGGGTTGGTCAACTTCAAACCAGTCGGTTACTATGACGCCTCCCTGCCTCCAGGACAGAAGTTTGTCCTCAAGACTGAAGCCATAATGTGGCCTGGAGGAAACACTGAGGCAAATATGTTAATTAATAGTAAAACATAAATTTATATAAGGCTACGGTTTAGCAATACCATGTAAATTGACACTAACTAATAACATTTATTTTTCTTTGATTCAAAGCTGCCTGTGTCAGTGTGCAGTGAGAGCTGTCGCCCAGGAACTCATAAAGTCCTTCAAAAAGGAAAACCTGTCTGCTGCTACGACTGTATACCATGTGCAGAGGGAGAAATCAGCAACATCACAGGTGCCACAAACCTGAAATATGGCAATTTGGTTACACTGTTTGCTTGCTCACACTGCATCATGTTGAAGTTTGCTATGGTACAGGCTATTATTCACGTTTTTAGGATGTAAGTAATCGAATTACAATAACAACATTGTTTCTATTGCAGATTCTAATGGATGCAAAAAGTGTCCTGAAGAGTATTGGTCCAATCAAAACAGAGATGCGTGTATTCTGAAAAATGTTGAGTTCCTCTCTTTCACGGAGGTTATGGGTAAAATACTTGTGTTTTTCACTTTGTTTGGTTTACTCCTTACCTTAATTGTGGCCACTCTATTCTTGATCAATAAGGACACTCCCTTGGTAAAGGCCAACAACTCTGAGCTGAGCTTCCTGCTGCTCTTCTCCTTGACCCTGTGTTTCCTGTGTTCTCTGACCTTCATCGGCCGGCCCTCAAAGTGGTCCTGCATGCTGCGACACACTGCGTTCGGCATCACCTTTGTCCTCTGTATCTCTTGTATTCTTGGGAAAACTATAGTGGTGTTAATGGCCTTCAGAGCTACACTTCCAGGCAGTAATGTAATGAAGTGGTTTGGGCCTGCACAGCAGAGACTCAGCGTTCTGGCTTTCACTTTCATACAGGTTTTAATTTGTATACTTTGGCTGACAATCAACCCTCCATTCCCCTTCAAAAATATGAGCCACTATAAGGAGAAGATTATACTTGAGTGTGCTTTAGGCTCAGCTATAGGCTTCTGGGCTGTGTTGGGATACATAGGGCTCTTAGCTATGTTATGTTTTGTGCTCGCCTTTTTGGCTCGAAAGCTGCCTGACAATTTCAATGAAGCTAAATTTATCACCTTCAGCATGTTGATATTCTGTGCAGTCTGGATCACCTTTATCCCAGCATATGTCAGCTCTCCTTGGAAGTTCACTGTGGCTGTGGAGATATTTGCTATTCTGGCCTCCAGTTATGGGATACTTTTCTGTATATTTGCACCGAAATGCTTCATTATTGTACACAAACCTGAGTTGAACACAAAGAAACATCTGATGGGGAAAACCTGATGAACATGATTAAATCCGGCTATCCGTTTAAAAGGAAATGACAGTATAACCTGGCTTTCCTTAAATTTTGGCATGACCTGAGCATACTAATCATTAAAACATTACATAAAACATTATTTAGCGTTTCCTTTTTTTCCCCCACATCAACACCTTGCTAAAAGTAACAATACTTTTATCGAAGTTAATTCAACATTGTGGATGGGAAGTTTAACTGTTATTTTAGATAATATCATGATGTATTGAATCCTACCTAGCTGGTACTACAGACAGTAAAACATGTTTTACAATTTCTGTCATTAAAATTGTTTTTACAGTAAATTAATTAAACTGAAGATTCACTGTATTCATTTTTGTTTTATTTCATATAAATAAGAAAGAGCTTACACAGAGGCATTTTACAAAAGCATGTGGCTCAAATTGACACAATCCCCCAAACATAGCTGATGAAATTACTAATAAAGATCTGAACCTTAATTTATCAGGAACGATCATACAGACATTCACACCTCGACTCTGACCAGTACAGCCGTAGTATGAGCTGTAGACCACTGCATAGCTCCACTGAAGCTGGTTGGGAGTTAAAGGCCTTGCTCAAGGACACATCAGTGGTTGTGAAATTGAGCCGATACTCTATAAGTCACAAGAAAGTACAAGATGTACCATCAGGTACATGACATTTATTAAGTAAAATAGGTCCAGGGTTTCATTCCTACATGGTATGGCCAGAGAGTAGTAAATTTGAGGAGGGCATAAGGGTTAAGATTAAGGAAAGACTGTGGTGATAGCAAATACATTATGGTTAAATTATGGTTAAGTTTAGAAATATTGTAGATATGGTTGACATAAATATGAATGGTAATTGCGGAAGTGTAACAAGACCCAAACACCAGTCTGCAGACTCCTGCATGAAGTCAGACTCGCTTCATGTTGCATCCACCACCACAACCTCCACACCACTACTTCTGGCTGGCATACTGTGTTTTTCTGGATTGATTTACATAATTAGACAAAACATGCCACAACATCCCAACATCCCGGCCACAGTCAAGGGAAGCTGAGGCATTTAGTTGTTCAGTTGATACTAATCTACAAACCGCTTCCTTTGTACTAATACACTGTGCCAAAACAGTTCATACAATGTATTCTAAACCATTCGCTGCACTGCACTCTGTTAAAACTTTTCTTCACTTGAAGGCCAAGTGCAGTGTGAGGGCAGTACATGCTTGTGTTCTCATGTAGCAAGAAAATGACATGTATCTGCATACCTCCGCCTTCAAAATGTTTTGATCCTGTTTTTGGTTTCCGGATCTGAAGCATTTTTATTTCAGTGCCCCAAACAAACACTACTTTTTAAAATTTTAATTAATGTAACTGTTTAGTACTTTTAGTATTACTGTTGTAACTATTAAACTTATCTAAAAAGTATTCAAAAAGTATACAATTAATGCACATTTTGGTTCACATATTTGTTGGAACAATTATTTTATATAGCCTAGTGTTTCTCCAGGATTTGTTTGCCAGCGGTTCTTTATCTATTTTCCCCTTCTTACTCTTTTAGATTTGGTACAACTTATTTGCTGCAAATAAGTATATAAATAATGAAAATAAAAAAAATAAAATAAAATAAAATCACTTTCTTCTATGCAGGCTTCTTGATATCCTCACTATCCTCACCTCATCAAAAGAATGTTTAAATGCCCCCCCTCATCACATCTGCCTACAATTTCATTTACAGCTTAAAGTGACAATGACAATAGTCTTAAGAACAGATTATACCATGTCAGATGAAGAACAGCAAAGTGGTCTGACATCATCACACTATGATTTGATAGGAGGACCTCAATCTTTTCTGCACAAGTATAAAAACTCTGCCCAGGAGCGACATGTTTTGGTCAATGATAGAAGACGCCATCACAGCGTACAGGTTTGTGTGAGTGTGTATGAACCTCTTTGTACCAGATGAATGACAGTGTCTATGTAATGTTATTGTTTGTGTTTTTTATTGGAGCCATTGGAGCAGAGGAAGACACTGCACTCTGTGAGATGCTGGGCAGCCCAGAGTTTCCTTTGTTATCTAAGGGAGGTGATTTCACTATTGGAGGAGCATTCTCCATCCATAGCCAAATCACAAAGCCTCCACTCTCCTTCACAGACACTCCAGAGCCTCTCATATGCTCCAGGTACTGTTTGTCGTCTCCTTTCTCAGTTGCTGGTTTCTAAAAACAGAAGAAAAAGTTGCACAAGGTCTGAAAACTGTTGTTACTCTTTTCAGGATAAATTTCAGAGAATTTCATTTTGCCCAAACAATGATTTTTGCCATTGAAGAGATCAATAATAGCAGCTCTCTACTGCCTAATATCTCAATTGGTTATAAAGTATTTGACAGCTGTGGTTCAACACTGCCTGCAACACGTGCAGTGATGGGTCTGATGAATGGAGAGGAAAGGATTTTTGGAAAAAACTGCTCCAGCCAGTCATCCGTTCACGCCATCATTGGAGCATCTGAGTCCTCCTCTACTATTGTGATGCTACGCATTTCAGGGATTTTCCAAATACCAATGGTAAATGTTTGTAATATTTATGTTGCAATTTAGATTTTTCCCTTTTTCCCCCCAAAAGGCTTGATCTCACTTTTTTTGGAATCTGGAAAATCTGGTGATATTATGGCTATTTTTTTTTTTTTTGGGGGGCAATGCTACAGTCGGGATTAAGGTTGCCAGGCCTTACACAAATGCAGCAGAATTCAGTCTCTGATTGAAATGCTATTGATGTATCATTGTCTCCCTCCTTTTCTTTTCTATTAGATAAGCCACTTTGCCACATGTGCTTGTCTGAGTAACAGAAAGGAGTATCCCTCCTTCTTCAGAACCATCCCCAGTGACTACTACCAGAGCAGAGCCCTGGCAAAACTGGTGAAGCACCTTGGCTGGACGTGGGTCGGAGCGGTTCGAAGTGACAATGACTATGGTAACAATGGCATGGCAACATTTATCATGGCTGCAAGTCAGGAAGGAGTTTGTATTGAGTACTCAGAGGCCATATCAAGAACTGACCCCAGTGAGCAGGTTGCCAGGGTGGTCGGAGTGATCCGTAGTGGTACTGCAAAAGTCTTAGTAGCCTTCCTTGCACAGGGTGAGATGAACATTCTGCTTGAGGAAGCTGTCAAGCATAACATGACTGGGTTGCAGTGGGTGGGCAGTGAATCCTGGATTACAGCAGGTCATTTGGCCAATAAGAGGTACTCTGCCATCCTGACGGGGTCTCTGGGCTTCACCATTAGAAAGACAAAGATCACAGGCCTGCGAGAGTTTCTTTTACAGGTTAACCCACATCAGGACCCTCAGAGTAATGTGCTGAGAGAGTTCTGGGAAGCAACCTTTGGCTGCAGTTTCCAATCCAGTCTGCATGGACAGACCCAGTGCTCTGGCTCTGAGAGGCTAGAGGACATAAACAATCCTTTCACAGATGTGTCAGAACTAAGGATATCTAACAATGTCTATAAGGCTGTGTATGCTGTGGCTCATGCCATACATAGCATGTTAAAATGTGGACAAAGTGGTGAAGAGTCCTGTATATGGAAAGATCATTTAGAGCCAAAACAGGTAAGAGATTGCCTTCAAAAGTCATGTAAATGATTTAAATAATATAAGTTATTCACCACAATTCTCTATTGGTAGGTTGTGGAACATCTACAAGGTGTGAATTTTACTCTTCAGTCAGGAGAGAGAGTGTATTTTGATGGAAATGGAGACCCTGCAGCAACGTACGAGCTGGTGAACTGGCAGAAAAACCAAGCAGGAGACACTGTGTTTGTGGCTGTGGGGAGCTATGATGCTTCACTGCCAAATGGAAAACAGTTTACCATGAATGGAATAAGCATAATATGGGCTGATGGATCCTTTAAGGTATTAAAGGTCTTAAATATGTTACACTCATTATGGAGGTGGATAAGTGCGTAGGAACAGATGTGATATGGAAATAATAAAAAATCCTTAGTTTTACTATCACATCACTTGCTGTACATTTTCTGAGTACGAACTATTCCCTGAGCCAGGCCCATTAAGGATTGTTAGGGAAGTCACATGTAGAAATCAAATAAATCCTCAAAATCAAAATTAAAGAGCGGTTATCATTATGATATTTTGAACCACTACAGGTGGAGTCACAAAAACAATGTTTTTCATGACATACACATACATTCTTATTTGATTTTTATTCATTATTTTGCAGTTTTCCTACTGCTTTTTAATAAGTGGAGCAGTGTTAACAAAACAGCAGTTGCGTTAATTACTGACATGCAAAATTTCACTTCTAATGTAGATGAATGTGCTAGAACAAGGTTTGTAAAGCTTTAGAGTTTGACAAAAAATGATTTAAGTTGTTTATATATTACGTAATGATGAATAAATCAAACCAATTAAATTAAGTGTTTGGGCAACAGGAGGAACAAACTGTAACTGTTGAGCTGTGGTGTTGTTGCAGAGGCCTCAGTCTGTCTGTAGTGAGAGTTGTCTGCCAGGTTTCCGGCAGGCTGTGATTAAAGGCAAACCCATCTGCTGTTTCTCCTGCGTCGCCTGTGCTGCTGGGGAGATCAGCAACTCCAGCAGTGAGTAAACACTTTCCTAATTGTCATTTATAATATCACATTTGTTCATAATCACTCACCTATGTCATTAAATGTAGCCAGTGCTTATTTTAATGAGTGCTATCACAACTTGCAGCATGAAAACATTCTGTGTTTCGTGTTTTCCATACAGATTCAGTGGAGTGTTCACGCTGTCCACTGGAGTACTGGTCAAATGAAGATCACAACCAGTGTGTCCCAAAGGTGATCGAGTTCCTGTCTTATGGAGAAACCATGGGGGCTCTCCTCACTACCTTCTCATTATTTGGAGCAAGTTTAACGCTAGTGGTGTTGTGTGTTTTCTTTTGGTTTCGTCACACGCCTCTTGTCAAAGCCAGTAACTCTGAGCTGAGCTTCCTGCTGCTCTTCTCCCTGACCCTGTGTTTCCTGTGTTCTCTGACCTTCATCGGCCGCCCCACTGACTGGTCGTGCATGCTGCGACACACTGCATTCGGCATCACCTTTGCCTTGTGCATGTCTTGTATCTTGGCTAAAACCATAGCTGTGGTGATGGCCTTTAAGTCTAAAAGGCCAGCAAACACAGTTCCTCAGTGTTCTGTTCCGCTTCAGAGAACAAGTGTTCTTAGCTGTACTTTACTGCAGGTTTTAATTTGTGTGCTGTGGTTAACTCTTGCCCCACCATTCCCCTACAAAAACACAGCTCATGCCACTGAAAGGATTATTCTAGAGTGTGATTTAGGTTCACCTGTAGGCTTCTGGGCTGTGTTGGGGTATATAGGACTCCTGGCTGTGCTATGCTTCATCCTTGCTTTTCTGGCTCGAAAGTTGCCTGATAATTTTAATGAAGCCAAATTCATCACCTTCAGCATGTTAATATTCTGTGCTGTCTGGGCCACTTTTATCCCAGCGTATGTCAGCTCTCCTGGGAAGTTCACTGTGGCTGTGGAGATATTTGCTATTCTGGCCTCAAGCTTTGGTTTGCTTTTCTGTATATATGCTCCAAAATGTTATATTTTACTACTGAAACCAGAGAGGAATACTAAAAAGCATATGATGGGGAGAAACCAGTCAAAACCACTCTAAATGAGTATAGTAACAAGGACCAACAAGTGTTCTAAAGAAGTTTCACCTGTCTCCTTTGAACTTCAAACAATATGCAGATTACTCGCTTGTTCACATATAGTTTTTTGATAAATGGACACAGTGTGCTTACTAAATGCCCTGAGGAACTGGACACATTTGCACTTTTCCCTTTGTTTCGCAAAGATTTTTAAATGCTATTAACAATTTCCATGCACTGCCATCCCTGAATCTGAATTCTAAAGTAAATGTTCTGAAAAAAGTAGAAATTAAAATACATTGCATTAGATTTGAAGTACAGTACATTTGATTGGGATATGCTTTCTCTGTGACATATTTGATGTGGAAAATAAAGTTCAGCTCCTCCTGGTTTTAGCATCCTTGGGGCGATGGGACAGAAATTGTTTACCTTGTATTCCATGATTTAGCTTGAAATTAAAAGTCAAAATTTAAATGAAATATAGACAACAGCAGCTCCGGTTTGTGAAATGATTATTGTAAGGAATTGGTTGGGCTAAAAACAAAAGATGATGAGCAAACATGGTAGGCCATCTAATAGGCCCATCTATCTGTCAGTCACACCACAATCGCTGTCATTGGTGGAGATAAACGGTATTCACATATGCTGCACCCAAGCCCCTGAGGCTTTGTGATAGTTAAAAGAAAAACCCTATAAAATGGTTCAGACTAGGGTGGTAAATACTGAGGTGAACAATTATGCTGCTGATAGCAGATCTATTGCTTATTTCCCTTCTGGCTGTCAGAGGAGGGAAGCCTGTGTGTCAAACATATGGCACAAAAGAACTGTCTCAGTTTTCTATGGAGGGAGACATCAACATTGGAGGCATTTTCTCCTTCCATCAGAACCCAATCAGTGTCAATCCAGCTCTACAAGGTAACCCAGGAACAATCCAGTGTGAAGGGTAAGAAAAGCAATGTAATTGTACTTGTAAATCTAATTGCAGTATGTGTTGTTTGTGTAAATCCTTGTGTTCTCATTTAGGTTTCACACTTTTTACTTTTCACAAATTATACAATTTGTTCTTCTCCTCTCCTTTTTCCAGACTGGACCCAGGAGAGCTCCAGTATGCATACACTATGATGTTTGCCATAGAGGAGATCAACAACAGCTCAGAGCTGCTGCCAGGAGTCACACTGGGCTACCGGATCTTTGACTCCTGCCCCAGTATCCCTCTGTCCATCAGGGCATCGCTAAACCTGATGAATAGGTATGAGAGCGGGGAAGGCAGCTGTAACAAACTCTCCAGTGTACATGCTGTCATAGGGGAAACCACATCCACCTCTACAATAGGTATTGCACGCACCATGGGACCCTTCCATATACCTGTGGTGAGTGCTAGGGTCATGCACATTCACACACATGAAATGTCAAATGAATGTGTTGTTTAATGAGAAGTATTATAATATGTGAAAATGCTTCATAATGTGTGGTTTATATCAGGTATTGAAGACATCCTTGCCTTAATGAACTGCAGAAACGCGATGAAAATGTGCCATTTCTCTCCATTACCTGTGTTTCAGATCAGTCATTCAGCTACTTGTGCATGTCTTAGTAACAGAAGAGACTATCCTTCTTTCTTCAGAACCATACCTAGTGACCTTTACCAGAGCAAAGCATTGGCAAAACTGGTGAAACACTTTGGCTGGACATGGGTAGGGGCTATTAGAACTAACAGTGACTATGGGAACGGTGGCATGGCCACTTTCCTGGAAGCAGCTGAAAAGGAAGGCGTTTGTGTTGAGTACTCAGTGGCTATTTATAGGACTGACCCAAGAAAGTGGTTCTTAGAGGTGGTGAACATTATAAAGAAATCTACCTCTAAAGTAATAGTGGCTTTTGCTGATGGCACAGACCTTGACATCCTTATCAAAGAGCTCCATGCTCAAAATGTGACAGGCCTGCAGTGGGTGGGCAGTGAGGGCTGGATCACTTATCGCTATATTGCCTCTTCAGTAAACTATGCTGTGGTCCAGGGGGCAGTGGGCTTTGCAGCACTCAATGCTTACATCCCTGGACTGCAGGAGTTTCTGGCTAACAGCAGGCCCTCCACGACACCAGGTGACCGGGGATTGGTGGAGTTGTGGGAGATGGTGTTCAGCTGCACCCTGACTCCCCAAGCAGAGACTCACATTCAGGGATCAGTCACAGCCTGCACTGGGAGGGAGTCTCTGCGGGACACAAGCACACGCTTCACAGATGTTTCAGATGCCAGTCTGCTGAATAATGTTTACAAGGCCACATACGCTGTAGGTCATGCACTGCACATGCTATTTACTTGCAAAGATGGACAGGGGCCTTTTGAGAACAACACTTGTGCTGATAGGGAAAATATCCAACCATGGCAGGTAAAGAGAGCATGCAATGTTCCGACATAAAAACCACTGTGCATGTTAATAATGATGCAGTAAAACAACATCACTGTTTTTCTTCAGGTGCTGCATTATCTGACCCAGGTCAATTTCACCACAAAGATTGGTGAAAATGTGTTCTTTGATGAGTTGGGTGACCCTGTGGCACGCTATGCACTGGTAAACTGGCAGATGGATGAGACAGGTTACATACTCTTTGAGACCATTGGTTACTATGATGCCTCCCAGCCTGAGGGCCAGCAGTTTGAGATGAAAGAGGATGTGAAAGCCATCTGGGCAGGCGAGAATCTCGACGTAAGTTAATGTATTGATGAGCTTTTTTTTCTTTCCTTTTATTTTGGGTTGTCATTTATCATTCACGATAAACAGTTGTGTGACAGTTATGAGTCTAGAAGTGAAGTTATGAAAGTTTTTTTTTTAATGCTGTCATTGTGATGCAGGTGCCGAGGTCCATTTGCAGTGAGAGCTGTCTGCCTGGGACCCGCCGGGCCTTTGTTAAGGGCAAACCCATCTGCTGTTTTGATTGCATCACCTGTGCTGACGGGGAGTTCAGCAACAGCACAAGTGAGACAGCAGGATTCCTAGCTGTTACTCTAGCATTTACCGTGTTTCTGCTGGGCAAAATCACTGCCAGCACTTTAATGGTGTATCTGAAGATGTGTGTGCTGTACAGCCTAAACATATTTATGTTTTCAGATGCAGTGAAATGTGACAAATGTCCCCCTGAGTACAAGTCCAACGAAGAGAGGAACAGCTGTGACTTGAAAGCCATTGAGTTCCTCACCTTCAGGGAACTGATGGGCATACTGTTGGTCACCTTCTCTGTCTTTGGTGCCTGCCTGGCAATGACTATAGCCCTGATATTTTTCCACTACAGACAAACTCCTATTGTCAGGGCCAACAACTCTGAGCTGAGCTTCCTGCTGCTCTTCTCCTTGACCCTGTGTTTCCTGTGTTCTCTGACCTTCATCGGCCGGCCCTCTGAGTGGTCCTGCATGCTGCGACACACTGCGTTCGGCATCACCTTTGTCCTCTGTATCTCTTGTATTCTTGGGAAAACTATAGTGGTGTTGATGGCTTTCAGAGCTACACTTCCAGGCAGTAATATGATGAAGTGGTTTGGGCCTGCACAGCAGAGACTCAGTGTTCTGGCTTTCACTTTCATACAGGTTTTAATTTGTATACTTTGGCTGACTATCAACCCTCCATTCCCCTTCAAAAATATGAGCCACTATAAGGAGAAGATTATACTTGAGTGTGCTTTAGGCTCAGCTGTAGGCTTCTGGGCTGTGTTGGGATACATAGGGCTCTTAGCTATGTTATGTTTTGTGCTCGCTTTTCTGGCTCGAAAGCTGCCTGACAATTTCAATGAAGCTAAATTTATCACCTTCAGCATGTTGATATTCTGTGCAGTCTGGATCACCTTTATCCCAGCATATGTCAGCTCTCCTGGGAAGTTCACTGTGGCTGTGGAGATATTTGCTATTCTGGCCTCCAGTTATGGAATGCTGTTTTGTATTTTTTTGCCCAAGTGCTACATAATTTTATTAAAACCTGAGAACAATACAAAGAAACATTTGATGGGTAAAATGACGTCGAGAGCCCTTTGAGTTTGTCAAATCAGCTACAACAATAGATTGAATGTTATAATCTTTCTATGTCTCTTCTTATCTTAGTTGATACATAGCTAAACTAAACATAGCGTAACTACACTAAATCATTCATGAAACAAAAAAGCAGAGTCGCTAGCTTGAATGAAAAATCAATTTATAGCTTTACACAGATATTCTTACAGTGTCTTTATCTCAACAACCCAGATGACATGAAATATTGGCATATGGCATATTCTCATAAGCTAAATATTGCATATATGAACAAACAAGACCTGGAATGTGGCAGCTGACTCATGTAAGTTGATTAGCTATATATTTTTCTTTTTGGGGGAGGGAGAAATTTAAACAAATAAATATTTGCATTTATTAATATGTATTAATGAACGTGAAATAAAATTCAAATGTTATAAAAAGGCGAACTCTTTTTTGTGTTGTTTTCTTCCACAGACAGTAAAAAGATATATATTTATTAACCCCTTAGTACAGACACGGTACATATGCACTTCAGTAAACCATATAAAGACATGAGAAGGCAGTACACATTAAAGAGACAGGATTATTTCAGTGTCAGGAAGGCACAAACTCCTAATTAAATATAAAAATTGAATTCCTTCAGCCCAGTCTATAACTCTAGTCTCTTGAACCATAAGGTAATGACATACAGTGTAGCATATGATGACGGAGTTTTCATACATTGTTGGCTCATGCATGTCACTCTTGCTGATTAATTACACAGTGCCTGTTGGGGTCAAGCCAGTTGGGCTTCTGTGTATATCAGTTATAGTATGAACTGTGCTCATACACACAGTCTCGGATATGTTCTATATACAGCATAAACCATAAATGAATTCATTCAAACGCCTCCTGTGAATATTCTCAATGAGAGGCTCGTAATAGATGGATGTGTTTGTTAAATCATTATATGCCAACATGTCTTATCTTGTTATAACACTTTGATATGGCAATGTCAAGAATACATTTTCATACATATTTTATGCACTGCATGATTGGAAAACTTCTTGACCTCTGTGTTAAATGGATCAAAAAGTATTTAAATGACAGAGCCCATGAGATGCAACTGGACAATCTACCACACTTAAGCTGACAAGGGCGTGAACTGTCATTGCTTTACATGCTATAAATAACCAGAAGCTGATTAGATACGTTCACCCTTACATTAATTGTGCATAAAATATAAAAAGTGTGCTGAAGGGACTCTCAAAGGAGAAACAAGGAGTACTAACCTACTCTGTGCACAGCTATAGGTTGAAACAGAATAAGCAGTAAGCAATAAGTGTCCTGTTAGGGAACTGACATATTTGGAGAGAGAGGACCTCCATGAAATATCAGACAGACAAGGTTAGCAACTAGCTAGTGAATATAGGAAAGTATTGCAGCTATAAAGCCAGATATTTTTCTCAGTAGATGGGAGTCCAAAACAGAGATAAAAAAAGACTGAATATTGGACGTCTCGGCTCGATGTGTAATTAAGCTAACATAAGCAATTATCAACTTTAGTGTGTGATAATGTTATGTTTACAGCGTGTTGCTTGTCCCAAGTTGCCAAAAAATTTATTTGATGCAGGTTTAGTAAGACTTATTGTTCTGAACCTGTAACTGTACTGTTTCATTTTCCGTGAACCTGTTGAGCCTAATCTTTTAATCTTCGTCCATTTTTCAATCTGTTAAGTGCCAGTATGAATTAAATTATAAAATCACATCTTTCTATGGCACATTTCAATATTCTTGTCTGATATCACGCACTAAGAAATTTAAAATAGAGTATAGACAAACTCTCTGTTTGGGCACCTCCCTTCACTCTCCCCAACTTCAAGGTCCACAGAGATGAAATATGTTCTATTATTATTTTTTTATGCTGTTCCAAAATGTATAAATACCAGTGCAAGCTTCTGATTTACATTAAGGTACATGTGATGCCACCCAGTGGTTTAGTTCTCTCAGGCATAATGACATCCACACAGAGATGGCCAGAACAAGGTTGGGCATTTTTACAGCTGCTGTTGGTGGCGTCTTTCTCTCAGGCTGAGGAGTTGGTGTGCAGGCAGAGAGGGGATCCTGAGAACCCTCAGCTATCTAACGATGGGGACATTATGCTGGGGGGAATCTTTTCTTTCCACAGCAGCTGGAAAGACAGACAGGATACCTACATGCATGAACCATTGCCACTGGAATGCAGCAGGTAAATTATATTGCAGAAAGATATTTAGATTTAAAAATATCTAAGAGGAAGTCGGTACAGATATAAAACATGCACAAAATAGGTGATCAAACTGAGGATTAAAGTGAGAAATACTTCATGTAGTGTGCATTAGTATCAACAAATGCGTTCATTTACTGTGCTATCGTTTCTATTTCAAGTGCCTCAAAAAGAAATAATTATAACTGTTTGCATTTAGTTTGAATTTCAGAGGGTTCCAGTTTGCCCAGGCTATGCTTTTTGCCATTGAGGAGATTAATAACAGCACAGACCTACTGCCTAGCATCTCTCTGGGCTACAAAATGTATGATGCTTGTGGCTCCATTGCCAGAAGTGTGAGGGTTGCACTGGCCTTGGCCAACGGTAATGAAATTGAATCTGCACCCTCTGATGCACCATGTACCAGACCTGCACAAGTGCAGGCCATTATGGGAGAAACCTCTTCCTCTCCCTGCATGGCAATAGCTACTGTCATCGGACCTTTTCATATCCCAATGGTGGGTAGGTTTGGTGAATAGTTTATATTTGTTAAACATTTGTATTCAGTAATTCTACCAGCTGCTCAGAGAAAATGTTGTGTGAATATTTTATGTTTTACATTTTTATCTTGGGAGGTGATTTCTTTTTTCTTTTAGATCAGCCACTTTGCCACCTGTGCTTGTCTCAGTGACAAAACCAAGTACCCATCCTTCCTCAGAACAATACCCAGTGACTACTATCAGAGCAGAGCTCTGGCCCAGTTGGTCAAGCACTTTGGTTGGACTTGGGTTGGAGCCATTAGAACCAATGATGATTATGGTAATAATGGCATGGCTACATTCACAGAAACAGCACAGCAGCTGGGCATCTGTCTGGAGTACTCAGTGTCTTTCTTTAGAACAGATCCACCAGACAAAATACAAAAGATAATTGACATTATCAAGGCTTCCACCTCCAAAGTGATTGTTGCTTTCCTCTCCCACATGGACATGGATGTGTTAATACATGAGTTGTCCAACTACAACATGACTGGGTACCAGTGGGTAGGTAGTGAGGGCTGGATCTTTGATTCCCAAACTGCAAAAATGGATAAGCATCACATTCTGGATGGTGCCATAGGCCTCTCCATTCCCAAAGCACATGTCAGCGGCATGAGAGAGTTCATACTCGATGTGAAACCACTCAATTCATCTAGTAATGAAATGTTTACAGAGTTCTGGGAGACGTTATTCAGCTGTAAGTTCAAGCAGTCAAAGTCATCAGCAGGGAATCAGAGAGAATGTACTGGACATGAGGATCTGACTGGAGTGCATAACAGCTTCACTGATATGTCACTCATGCCTATATTCAACAATGTCTACAAAGGAGTGTATGCTGTGGCCCACGCACTTCATAGTATTCTTGGCTGTAATGAAACATGTAACAACAAGGTGAAGCTAGATCCGTTCATGGTGAGTTCAACACTAAATACTTAAATTCTAGTTTTTACATTAGGTCACAAGAGAATCTGTTCCAATGTTTTTAAAAATGAGTGTTGCAGTCTGTCTATCATGCTGTTGGGCCAACAGGCCTACTAGACGTTTGTCAGATAATTAACCAAATGAATACCCATCTTCTTAGATTTTACAGCGTATAAAAAACATTCAATTCAAAACAAAGGAAGGAGATGAAGTTTACTTCAATGAGGATGGAGACCCAGCAGCAAAGTATGAAATTATAAACTGGCAGCCAACAGAAAATGGCATTGTTAACTTTGTCACAGTTGGTCTTCATGATGCATCTTTACCTGCAGACAAACAGCTGAATCTGCAAAATAAGTCTTTAATTTGGGCACAGAACTCAGAACAGGCAAGTTACCATGTCATCACTGTACTTTAAATTAGAGAATAATTGTTAATGTATCATATTTGGTTTCAGTGCTTCAAAATTGATAATAGAGTTTGCAAAGGCAACAACTTGATGAATACCAGTACAGTTTTCATTTACATTTCTCATACTTGTTTTGTGTATGCAGGTGCCTGTGTCAGTTTGCAGTGAGAAATGTCCCGCAGGAACTCGCAAGGTTCTCCAGAAAGGAAAGCCTGTCTGCTGCTATGACTGTATCAGATGTGCAGAGGGAGAAATAAGCAATATTACAGGTCTAGTAATGTTTAGTGTAAGGCTTTGCATTTCATTGTGCTGCAAAACAAAATTATCTTGATCACATGCCAATCGTATGAAATTATTTCCTAAATTTCCAAAGCAGGGAACCTGCCGCTGGGAAATATACACTCAGTGTGTTGTTGGTATTTTCATTAAAATATGTCTAATATCATTGCATCAAACATACATATACAGATGTATCCAAATGTATGGATGGTGAATGTTTATCGTACTAAGAGCATTAAAATTCTACTTTGAAAAACTTAACACAATAATGCATATCAAATAACCTATTTAATAAAGTGTAATGTTTAGAGCTCATGCTTGTGACTGAATCAATGATCATACTATGTTGCTGTCTGACAACTATACATCTATTATCAGGTAGTCATTCAGTGTGTATGTATAATATCTATAGAATAGATGCAAAAAAGGAAAAAAATCTACTTTGCAAGTCTGAAATCTGCTTTAATATTTTACTTTTCAGATTCTATCACCTGTGTGCGATGCCACCCAGAGTTCTGGTCAAATGAAAGAAGAGATGCCTGCGTAAAGAAAGAGGCAGAGTTTCTATCATATGAAGAAATTATGGGAGCATTGCTCACTGCAGCATCCCTGTTTGGAACATGTATGACTGCTGTTGTGGCATTTGTTTTTTTCAGATACAGGAAAACTCCTATTGTGAGGGCCAACAATTCTGAGCTGAGCTTCCTGCTGCTCTTCTCCTTGACCCTGTGTTTCCTGTGTTCTCTGACCTTCATCGGCCGGCCCTCTGAGTGGTCCTGCATGCTGCGACACACTGCGTTCGGCATCACCTTTGTCCTCTGTATCTCTTGTGTTCTGGGGAAAACTATAGTGGTGTTAATGGCCTTCAGAGCTACACTTCCAGGCAGTAATATAATGAAGTGGTTTGGGCCTGCACAGCAGAGACTCAGTGTTCTGGCTTTCACTCTCATACAGGTTGTTATATGTATCTTGTGGTTAACAATTTCTCCTCCTTTTCCATTGAAGAATTTTAAGGAATTCAAGGACAGAATCATCTTAGAGTGCGCTCTGGGCTCAGCTGTAGGTTTTTGGGCTGTACTTGGTTACATAGGACTTCTGGCCATGTTATGTTTTTTTCTTGCTTTTCTGGCTCGGAAACTGCCTGATAACTTTAATGAAGCCAAGTTTATCACCTTCAGCATGCTGATATTCTGCGCAGTCTGGATCACTTTTATTCCAGCGTATGTCAGCTCTCCTGGGAAGTTCAGTGTTGCTGTAGAAATATTTGCTATTCTGGCCTCTAGTTTTGGACTTCTCATTTGTATTTTTATTCCAAAATGTTACATTATCTTACTGAAGCCAGAGAAGAATACAAAAAAGAATATGATGGGGAAGGTGGCACCAAAATTATTCTGAAGTTAAAATAATAATGTGGTGGCAAAGGCATGCCAATGCGATTATAATTTTTTACATAATTAGTTGACCTGACGGTCAAGCAGACACTTACATTCATTTTAAAGAAGACTGTACCACTGTATTGTACCGCTAATTTTTCCTACTATCATTCATTTTGTGATATAGCATATGGACATTCAACACAAGATAATACACAATTATATCAACCAATATATATAATGAATAAATGCACAAACCTAATACCGGATTTCTTACTGCCTTCATAACAAAATAGAGTTTATAAAGTGTGATCAAACAATAAAATTTATGTTTTCAAGGACAACAACATCTGCAGCTTGTTTGGTTTTGTCTCCGATACCCCTCCTTGCTGTTGAAGGTGTCCAATACCCTGCCATGAAATTTACAGCACTTTTCCACTGTGTGATACCTAGTCAACTCCACCCTACTTGACTACTCATTTTTGGTTCTTTTTCCACTGCAGATAGTACCCAGTCAATGCAGCGTCGTTTCTATGGTGACAATCCACAAAAGCTATCATGACGTCATCTTCAACATGACATACATGAGCAATGGAGGATATCAAAAGGATACCAAACGGAGAAACATCTGCACCTCATCAATTGACCGCAGTGTTGTTTTGTGGGTTGCAATACTAAAAGTATCATACAATAAATAATAAGCTTTTGCTTCGTCATTGCTGGACACAAGTGAAGTCAAGCAAATGGGGTTTCAGCTTTCACTCGAATTTGGAACGTGTGTCCATAGTTCCAAGCATCAGCTGGGTCATGGTTGGCCATCTTAAGGCCAGGAACACACTGGATGCATGGTGTGTGTGTGTGTGTGTGTGTGTGTGGCGGCTGCAGAATGTCTTGGTTTTTCCATCAGAGTACATGTTTTTGGGTTACAGACACGCATGGCCTCACTTTATACAGGGATTCGGCGTGTCACTTTTTTTTTTTTTTTTTTTTTTTTTTTTTTTTAAGCGTGGTGCACACCTCCCAGCAGATATAGACAGAAAAGACCTGTTGATAGTCATTGACATCATAGCAGCAACATAAAAACTGACACCTTCCACTTTAGTTGTCAAAGTCTAGGTTGAATCTGAATGTGTCAGACATGAAAAGATATAAATATATATTTAACGATTTTAGCAGCTGCATGTGGAGACAGTGGCACTTTAGTGGTGTTTTTTGACTGAAATAATTCAGAAATTAATTTATAATGAAAAGAAATTTATCATTCCAGTAACCTGCAAACTCTACGTAGAAAGATAGAGCTGGCGGTAGCAGCAACACAGCAGACATGCAGCCAGTGTGAACCCACACGTGCTTCTCCACAGTAGGTAAGCCATGGCACCACCACGCAGGTTTTGTGAGGTTACTGTGAACTTGACCTTTGACCACTGAAATCTAAAATCAGTTCATTGAGTCAAAAGGAAAACATTTGTGCCAAAGTTGAGATGATTGCCTTGAGTAGCTGAGATAACTGTTCACAAGACCGAATTCATTTTTTGTGGTCACTGTGACGTTCACCTTTAAAAACCAAAATCTAGTCAATTTGTCCTTGGGTCCAAGTGGACGTTTGTGCCAAATGTAATGAAATTCCCTTAATGTGTTACAGATATACTGCATTCACAAGGCCAAAACAGTGTTTTTTGAGGTCACTGTGACCTTGACCTTTGACCACCAAAATCTAATCACTTCATATTTGAGTCCAAGTGAACTTTTCTGCCTAATTTGAGGAAAATCCCTTAATGCATTGCTGAGAATGAGATGTACCATACATATGTAAGGACAGACAACCTTTGGTACAGGTAACACTGTCAGTCACCATGCTGTTAGCTCTGATTTCCTAAATACCACTTGATTTCATCAAACTCCTTTTTAATCTTAATCTTATTTTTAATCTAATTCTTAAAGACCCCCTCCAATGAAAATCAAGTTTTTAATCTTGTTAACATGTATATATGGTGTTTTTTTATGTAGTACATGACAAATAATAAGCAGTCAATGTCATGAATGTGTATTTCCACCTTGGAACTGCAGTGAACTAATGAATCTCATAAAAACAGATTCATACAGCCATAGTTAATTCATTGTAGAGTCTACCTAAGGAACCAATCCTGTCAACCCCGTTATATAGTTCCCAACCATCACCCACTAAATCTATCAAAAGGATAACAGAAGATTGGACATAAACCAAAATTTAGAGGAAGTCACAGAGAAGGGGGTAAATAAAAATGGCCAAATGAGAAATTCTTAGAAGAGGCAAGACCAACAACACAAAACTCAGAGAACCAACTGAAGGTGTTACCTCTCTGACAGCAAAAAAAAAAAAACAAATGAACAAGGAAACCAAACCTCCTTATAAAACCTCCTCAGCTAATTGCCACCAGCTGAGGGAGATCCCAGGTGCATCCCATTGCTCCTGATTAGCTGGGGAACCTGTGACCTAAATTCTGATCTCCATATGATCTCTATATCCATAACACCTCCCCCCTTAAAAGATAACAAAACTGTATAACAGATTTGTTGGCATGACACAAAAGAAACTCCCACTATATTATAAACAAAAGTAAATGTTGCTCACATTAACCAAATGGATCAAGATGCTTGAACAGGCCCCAAAACCATAAATGTCCAAAACATCAACTTAAATAGCCCGTACCCACACTGGGTGACAGTCAAACAAATTTCAAATACATTTTTCATTGTTTTCTTTCGAACACAAAATCACTAAGTCACAAAAATGAATCATTACAGCACAAAGTAAATTAACTTTTGACATGCACAAAAAAAACCCCAAAAAAACAAAAAAAAACTTCTAGCTTCAAGCTACTAAATTGTCCTTCCCTTTCACATGCTTGATTTCAAGCGATAGCTCTTTCAGGGCTAAACTCCTGATGAGCCATATTCCCTGCATGCTCTAAGTTGCTCTAATTTCCAAATGAAGTGGTATTGGGACCACTATTTGAGATACTGTTGACCTGGCACCTTCCGACAGGGCACGGGGTTGCAATTTTCCTCATCAAAACACCACTCCTCTTATAGTTAGTTATGGTTCTGTAAACCAATTCATCTCCACTCCCTGCCTTAGAGTGCTATTATCACTCTCCATTTCCTTGGTTAATGGTAACACACCCTTCAGCAAGATGGATTGCAATGCTGCTGTGTCTTGCAGTATTGTCACAGGTTGCTTGCTAGCATTGTCTCCTGGTAGAGACACAAATCCTTCTAATATAAAAGGCTTAAACTCATCTGGGACTTCCTCCTCTACAGATTCAGAATCTGGGAGCAAAGTTTTATCAATCAGGGGACCTCCCAGCAAAGCTACAGTTTTCGGTTTCTGATCTTTTTTCGATAAAACTATGCATTCATGGATAATATGAACTTTTGTGTGTCAGTAGTGACATTCTATTTGGCTTAGGGTCTTCTTGTGCCTTGGTTTTGTTGCCATGTTTATGGTGTTGGTGCTTGGTGACTTTGATGTGAATGTAGGCTTATGAGTAAGAGTAAACTCATCAGCCAGAACAGCGGTTCTGGAACAGCAGTCCAATTGGGCAGAGCAAATACCTGATTCAGGATCTCTCAATGAGGAAGTAAGCATAGATGTGGGTCTAGCTCCAGTTTTCCAATGTTAAACAAAATATTAACCATAACAAAGTATTTTTGCATACTTTAAAACATCTCTGGAGAGGAACTTTAACTAATTTCCCCTCCGATGCATTATACTAATGTTTATCCTCTTGATGAATATTGCCCTCACTTTATGCTCTTTTCCTCCCCCTGTTGGTTAATGCACAGTGAGAAATCGTATACCTTCTATTTTTTGGGATAGGTTTCCTTCATATTGGAAGCACCTAATTCAGAGGACTGTTTCCCATGGTGAGCAACCTTTTGCTGGGGCTGAAATGCTAACGTCTACTCCTCCTGTTAAGAATATATTTTGGATTTAACTTAAATTATTTTCTCTTTGTCTTTCATGAGTTTTATATGTGCATTCACCAGTGGGACACAAACACGACTCCAAATCAATGCTAATATCACTCTATGTCAAATGAATGTATAAGCAACTGTTTGCTAACTAGACCAACATATCAACTTAAGGAGATCATAATGTTTACAGCATGTGGTGCTGCCCCCAGATGGCCAAAAAATATAAAGTGCAGGTTTAACATGACTATATTTTTTACCGATTTGTAATGAACCAATTATTGTACATTTGTGGGAATTTCACAGAGCATGTTTAAAGGCTATTTTTTAAAATTTTACTTACAGTAACCTTTGTCCCACATTATTTTCACTGTTTAAAATGTAAGTATTAATTCAAATGTAAACTGCATCTTCAAAATGTAAAAATGATCATTAAAAATCGAAAAAGAAATGTGCGGCACAACTGAATATTTTTTTCTCATAACACACAAACACACCAAACATACTTAAGATAGGCAGCAACCCAAAACTCTTTCTGTTTGGGCACCTCCCTCCTCTCGCCCCAACTTCAAGGTCCACAGAGGTGAAATATCACTCATCTGTTGTTTTTTATATGCTGTACCAAAATGTATAAATACCAGTGCAAGCTTTTGATTTACATTAGGGTACATGTGATGCCAGCCTGTGGTTTACTTCTCTCTGACAGTATGATGTCCACACAGCGGTGGTCAGAGCAGGGTTGGGCATTTTTACAGCTGTTGTTGGTGGCGATTTTCTCCCAGGCTGAGGAGTTGGTGTGCAGGCAGAGAGGGGATCCTGAGAACCCTCAGCTGTCGAAGAATGGGAACATTATATTGGGGGGAATCTTCTCTTTCCACAGCAGCTGGAAAGACAGGCAGGATACCTACATGCATGAACCATTGCCACTTGAATGCACCAGGTAAATTTAATGAAATTAAAATGAGAAACATTCCCCATTATGTGCATTAATAACAATGCTTTCATTTATTGTGATATTGTTTCTATTTCTGCTATTACGAGTACAGCTCTTAAAAACTGTAATTTTCA